ACTCCGTTTCCCCCCCTCCTCTTCCTCTGCTTTACAACTGCCTGTACTCCAGGCTTTTTTCCTCTTTTCCCCCTCTGTATTTTCTGTTTATTTCTTCTGCTCTCCCTCTCTCATAGGCCCTGCATTTCCTTCCCAGAATCTTGCAGCATCCTCTCCATCTTTTAAAAAGTTACAGAATTTGACGGTTTTGTTTTCAGAGGCCACAAAATGACCCTCTGCTCCTCTGTTTTACCTGGCTGCCAGCGACTGTGGCCTTCCTTAGTGCAAAGTCTCCCATGCGTCCCGGTATTACCAACATTATTCATAATCTTTGTTTCTGTAGCTGGGACCAGGAAACCATCCTTTTCATAGACTTGCAGAGGCTGAAGCCACACGGCTTTGTGTGGCACTTGGCATCTTGTCAGTGTTGGGTGCTTGTCAGACACCAGCTCAGCAGACAGTAATAAAGTGAAGTCCTTCTAATTTTCTCCTGTGAGGCAGCCAGTGGGCTATGGGCAACAGGCAAGGTCATGACAGAGTAAGGGAGAACCCAAGCTTGGAATACATAGCTTGAAAGACAATGATTTTAGAGATGTAGCTTGTCTAAGCAAACAGGAGGATTGCTTTCCTCCTTGCATGTCCTATTATTTTGCCATTTTTCTTTTAGTGTTTGGCTTGTGTGCTTATTTCATTTGAAAACCTCATGTAATCAGTCACCAAGCCAATCTAGCTGAGGCAGAAACACCAGCCCACCCTGCTACTGAAGCCTGCTGCTCTTTCTGTGGAAACTTGTTTGTCATAGGGAGGAAAATAGAAGTACTCCCGACTGAAACTTGAAATACTACATTACATGAGAGTAATTACCATATATGCACAAGCACACATGCACATACACATATAGAAAAATATACATATATAGCTCACCATATTGTACTCTGCTACATAATTATTATTTTTCAATTGAGGAAAAATAAGCCTATGAAATGGAAGCTGGAACCCTAAAGTTTTAGAAGTGCATATGCCACTGATTTATTACAGTCTTCTGGGCCATTTATGCCCTTTTCTTTATTACATTTTCCAAATGTAAAATGGGAACAAACTGCTTATCAACTAATAAACGAGTCTTTATGAAGATCAAATGCAGTAGATATCCTTAGTAATATTTGTTTTCTTACTTTATAAAAGATAACACAAGATTTTCAGAAGCAGACATTTTGAATTGCTTCTTCAAAAGCCTTCAGGCTCCTTATGAATGTGGACTGAGGCAGGGTTGTAATTGAAAGCTTGAACATATAAGAATCCTTTGTAATGTCTTATATGTACCTAAGCTTTTTTGAAATTCATAGTGTTAAATCAGTGCCTTTGGCTATTACGTTGCCAATTCCTGATAAGGAACTGTTAGGTTATGAGGGAGGCAGGATGCCTCTTTTTGGTTTAGTTCAGACCTGTTTCCCCAAGATCTCTATGGTATATTTATCCAAGCTTCACCTCTCCCTCTAGTAATTCAGGAAAGAGATGGTACCTGTTGGACTTTAAATACCAAATGATAAAAATGAATGCTTTATCTGAATCTCAGTAAAAGCTTCTGAATTGAATCTTTCCCTTATTAAAAAACCCTAAAAAACAAATAAACCCCCAAACAACTGGAGATGAATTAAAGAAAAAAAAAAAGTGCAAGCAAAAACCATCTCCTTGAAACCATCTCCTTTTCATTTTCCCATCACTTCAATTCCTGCCTGGAAGAAGTGTTTTTCTTTACTCCTAGCAAGCTCCATCAGACTATTTCCATACTTCTTTTTACAATTAGGCAAAACTTTACCGGTGTGTAACAGGTAGGCAAAAATATTTGTAAACTAAAGCAGAATTTCCCAGTGGTTTCAGCCAAAGAAAATTGGCCCTCCCTGCCCCTGTTGGAACTGTTGGATTAAACAGCATATTTTTATTTATTTCACACTGTGCTTATAAGGGTACTGTACCATTGTTCACCAAGCAGGACAGCCACTGGTAGCCGAGAACTCTTCTTTTCTGCTCTGACATAGGTGTATGAAGCCAGAAATTTATTTCCTTTTATTACAAAAAAGTAATTTTAAATGTCTAAGAATAAATTGTTGTGAGTTGGTTTGTTCGTCTTCTGTTTGTTTTTTTTTAAAGCCCTCAAATTTTACCTTTCAGATCACATGAAGAAAATTGTTTTATTTCAGTTTGGTCACCGAGGCAAAAAAAATCAATTACATGCACAGTTCTAGCTCTTATTCCAAAGAAAACAGCCAAAACTTAAACTTTGTCTTTAATTATATATTTGATTCATCCCAGTAACAAAACTTGACTTCAAACAATGGAAGAGCAGGAGGAAACTTGCTCTGAATTCCTCTCTTCAAAGAAGAGAACTCTTTCAGATACTGTGTCAGAAAACTTTAAGCTGAAACCAAACGAGATAACTGTGAGAAGACTAAATACAAGGAACTTTAGCTGACCACAGGAATAACGTCTCAGTACTGAGAGGAGGCCTCCAAAATTGATTTTGAACAAATATACCCACATTTGGGAAGGAAAAATCAACTTTGCTAGATGGATTAATTATTCTTCTCATTCCTTCTTCTTTTTCATAGTTGTAGGAGCAAATTATTATTCATTTAAAATTACCACACAATGAAAACACATTGTTATCCGTGCCCAAAACTACAAACCAGTTTAATTCCTACAACTGATAAGTAGAATATACCATGTGTTAATTCTGTGTACTATATTACTCTCATGACAATTCATGGAAGTGTACAAATTAAGTCAATTAAAGCTACTTGAAAGACTTCTGTATGCTGTCACCGGTTCATTGGTGCACAGCAAATTGCTTGAAAAGATTTGGGATGTGTACGCTGTATCTGACAGTTACAGAGCCATCCTCTGGTATTTTTATTTGATATTTGTTAGACTATTTTAGTTGGGAATAATTATACAGAAAGCCAGTGTAAAGATCATTCTGGTCTTGTTTGTTGTCGCGCACGCATGTGTGTGCGCGCGCGTGTGTCCTGCTTTGTTCTGTCTTTCTACTTCTTGACCTCATTTTTCCTCCTCATTGCTGATTCCTATTTGTCTCTTGTCTCATGTCTTTTTTTAATGGAACAGATTGATATCTAGGGCTGTGTCTAGACTAGGAGAAAGGTTGAGTTTAGTTCAGCTGTAAGTTGAAGTTAGCTGGCCAGCTATATTCAACCACTTCTTGACTGCTGAAAAGGCAAAGCCATGAGAATTTATGCTCCTGGCTAGAATTTAACTTGCTTTTACATCTGGTAAAATAGGTATGTTTTTTAGGTTTGACTTAGTTAGGTAGTGCTAACCAATCTATCCCAACCTCAGCCTTCAATGAGAAAAGCTGAACAATTCTAAAAGTTCTCCTTATGGTTTTTCTGGTCTGAGGGTGAAAACATGTTCTATTATAAGCTTTGCGTAGGTTGTTGAGTAAATTGCTAGATGAGTAAGTTGCATGATGAAAAACCTTGTATTTTTATTAGAGGAGCTCTAGGCCATCTTTTTTCTCATCTTAACTTTTTGCGGTTGCTACCAGTATACCAAGCATCAATAGACACGTCATTCCTATTGGCTTTTCATGATGTTGGAAAAAGATGAGCCTGAATGAGAAAGGACCCCATAGCATTTAATTTTTTTTCCTGATATTCAATAATGTAATTTCTACTCACGTGAAAGGGACTGCTGTATGCAAAATCCTGAATGATTCTTTGGTGTGTGTGTGTGTACAGTAGCCGCGTGGGCTGAGGTGGACACTGAAGTGACTAACCTATAGCCATGTAGCAAGGCAGCTGCTGGATAATGTCTCATGGTCCACTGGCTCTGATGCTGTTCATTCACTGAAGGTCATCCTTTTACTGGTTCACCACTACTGAAAATTTCCAATTACAAAATTATAGCTGTTTTTCCACGTTCTCAGGAATGTGACACAACCTGATTAATTATAAAAATCTAAATATGTAGGTAATTTATTGGCAACATTTTCACATCCCTGCATTGCAGTTGTCCCTACTGGTAATGCTGGCAGCACATGACACCTAGTGTGCTCGAGAGTTGTCCCGCGGGGGAGGAAGAATTGAGTCCCCTCGCCCAGTTTTGGCTAACCAGAGTTCATGCCCAGGTGGCCTGGCCCCATTCAACACGATGCCCTGGGTGCAGATGTGGGCACCACTGAGGTGGCTGGGCGGGCAGCCCGCGTGCCACCGGCGAGCTGGGCATCCCGGGTGTCCTGGATATCCTTGCGGAGTGTGGCATTTTTTTAGTGTGGTGGTGTTACTGACCAGGCCCTGCTGGGCAGAGCCGAGAAGCGGTGTTCTCCAGGCGCCGAGGGGGAAAGGCGGCCAAAGATCACTGGGTGAACGCCGCTGGCTCCACGCAGGGATGCCCCGAGTATGCAGCTCTCTCCCGGCCCCCTTCTCTTGGCTGTGTCCCGCGGCTGGCCCGGGGCGGGAGCGGTGCCCGCAGGGCCCCCAGGGCCGCCCTGTCCACTGCTGCTCCTGCCCGAAGTCCGGCGGTGCGAGGTGCCCGGCGCTGCGCGGTGCCCGGCGCTGCGCGGTGCCCGGCCCCAGCGATCCAGAGCCACCACCAGGAAGGAAGGAAGGAAGAACGGAAAAGAGGCGGAGCGGGAGCGGGCGGGAAGGGGCCGGGTCCCCGCGGTACACGGCGCTTTGTACACGGGCGGGCGCGAGTCGGAGCCGCCGGAGGCAGCGCGGAGCCCGGCGGGACTAGCATGAGCCCGGGCGGCGGCGCGGCGCCTGGCGCTCCGGCAGCGGCTGCTCTCGGCGCAGCGGGGCGGAGGGAGGGCGGCGGGCGGGCCGGGCAGGCGGGCGGAGTGGCCGGCGGCCTCCCCGGTGGCCTCGCCCCCCGCGCCGGCCGCCCCTAGCGCGGAGCCGGCGGCGGTCCAGCGCCGGGCACAGGCGGGCGGGAGTGGGCGCCGGCCATGGCGAGGCGCGGCGCTGCTGGGGGCCGCGGGCCGCTGTCAGCCGCCCGGGCGCCGCGGGCCTGAGGAGGGCGGCGGCGACGGCGGCGCGGGGGGGTCGCGGCTGCATCCGCTGGTCCCACGGCCGAGAGAGGCGCCTGCGGGCCCTCCCTCTTCTCCTCCTCCTCCGCTCCCTCCTCCTCCCTCTGCTCCTCCCGCCGCGCCGGGAGCTGCCGCCGCCTCCCCAGCGCCGGGCGCGCCGCGGTCGGGGTCGCAGTCGGCGGCCGCCGGGTTTTCCTCGTTTGTTTGGGCCTTTTGTGTCGCGGCTCACAGTTGGCTAAGCACGGCCGGGCTGAATCGGGCCATTGTTCGGGACCCCCGAGCTCCCACGCCGCACATCTCTCGTCCCCAGCCCCCCTTCAGCCTTCCCCCTCTCCCCCCCCTTTTTTTGCCTGAGAAGCCACATAACGTGCCTTTCCTCCACGCAAATCTGGGAGCTGTAAGCCGGACCGATTGCAAATGAAGTGTAATGCATTGTGGGACGTGTGTAAAATTGGATCATTCGAGGGGGAAAAAAAAAAAAAAGGAAGGGACCTGCGGCTGGCGCCCTAGAAGAGGGAGCGGCGAGATGCGCGCAGGTTGCGCCCCGGCGGTGGCCGCGCTAGGCTGATGCCCGGCGGCGCGCACCCCTGACCCATGCTGCGGCGGGAGGAACACGCTCGGGCATCCTCAGCATGAAGAAGACGCGGAGTACGACCTTGCGGCGGGCCTGGCCTAGCTCCGACTTCTCCGACCGGGCCTCAGACCGCATGAGGTCCCGCAGCGAGAAGGACTACCGACTGCACAAGCACTTCCCCCCAGCTTTTATTTCCCAGGCATCACGGGGCTACATGACATCAGGTTTGTAACATAATTTGTTTATGCGAGGGAGCTTTATTGCGAGGCTGCTGCGGAATGTGTGTCTGGCCGGGAAGGCTGTGTTGGTGGGTACGGAGGGGAGCCTGCGATCGGGAGGCTGAGTTGTTATGAATAATGCACAAAAAAAAAAATAGCATACATCCACCATTTTGTACCTCTGCAAGATTCACAGCAGGGTCCTCGCAATATGGTGTTTAAAATCTATTAGTCAAGCGAAATAAATATACGAGATAAACGGTTGCATCTTTCTGTCGTGGAAGGGCAGATAAAAATGACCGGCTGTGCAGAGCATGGAGCCTTTTGCTCCTTTTGTGTGTAAAAGCATGTGCTGGATATTTACTGCTGCCCCACACATTCCTCTTTAAATGCAGTTAACTCTAGTTAACTTACCGGGCTTTCGTGTTTTTCCATTTTGGAAAGGAAAAGGGTCACCTGTGATTGCAAATGCTCTTGCCTTGTTACAGGCTCTCTGGGTTTTGGCTGCACGTTTCTGCAATGGCAAAGCATGCGTTGGTGAAAATGACTGTAAACACATTTGCATTTGTTTTTTGAGGTGTAGAAGGAGGCTAGACCTGTGTATGTGGCGGAACACACACGTACATGTATATTCATTTGTCAGTTGCTTTCAAGGAAGGCCGTTGGGAAATAATGGACCAACATGTTTGTGCATGGGAAAGAGAAAGCGCAAACAAAACAAAAAACAGCTCAGGGAAAGGCAGTCGTCAGGGAGAGGCTTGGTCTCCGATGGAGAGTGCTGGTGAGATTTCGGAAAGCCTCAGTACTGTTAGTGAAATCTGCTCCATCCTGAAATGCATCTTAATGGCCTTGGAATTAAGACATTTCATAAACACCCAAAAGAAGACTTGGGAATATGCTGATCGGGAGGGGACCAGTGGCAGAAAATCCTGGAAACCTCCTTTGTTGTTCTGCTGCCTGCTTGTTGTGATGATAGGACATAATGTTTCATTATTATGATGGCAAATGCCAATTTATCACGAAGGCACGTTTTTCCCTCTGAGGCTCAATTTAGGTTGAGTAGGCAGATTCTTTTAAAGGAGAAAGGTGTTTATTATGCATTACTGAAAACGTCTCCTGTATTCTGTTCCCCCTTCCCCATTTCTACTACAAAGGTTGAGCCAAAAATTGTGGTTGTCAGATATATGCTCACTTTCCTGTCTCTGGCCCTAATAAACGTATCTCTTTAGTCAGGATTGGTTTCTCATATTTTAAAAATGTCTTCTGACTGTTATTTCTTTAATGCCTGTGTACAAGGCAAATAACATGCATTTTATTGAAAAATGTGCCTGTATAAGAATATTGTGCTGTTTTGGCAATATTCTGTTTTTTTCCCTTTCCTGGGAACTCACATATTGAGAGGAAATTACAAGGATAATTTATGCTTGAACAGCTGAATGATTGTGGTGGTGGAGGGATTGATTTGTTTCGTTGGTGCTGCAAGACCTGAAATGGGCTGGAAAGCTGAATCTGTCCATACTGCGAAGATTTTTGTTGTTCTGTGTGAATGTCCTGATATTCCCGCTGTAAGATACGCCGTGTCAGTTCTGTTGAAGTAGGTACTTTTAGGCCTTTCTTTCAGTGTGGAAGCCTGTACTGAAAAGAGAAGGAGCTCACGTGAGCATTTTGTGCCAAGCAGTGTGGTTTTTGCTTGTTTTCAATTCTTCAGGGCAGCAGTCTGGCTCTGTGAAAGCTTTATCTTGGCAAAATTGGTACAATCCAACCAGACAAACACCAGCAATCTGCAGAATCAGATGTGTCACCCTGAATTTTTTTACCAGATACCTGTGTCCTTGGGGGGTGGGAAGTGACAAAGAATTTTAATCTGTTATGAATGTTTTGAAGTAATCTCCAGACCTTCAGAATACTTGTTTATGAATATGGAGCTCATTGATTCCAATTGCAACAACTGAAGAAGAAGGGCAAATGTCATCTTTGGTTTTACTTATTTGCTAAAGTTATTGGAGGGAGAAACACATTGAAAATTGAAATCAGCAAGTGGTTTTTGGTTTTGCTGAGGTTTTCTTGTTTTGTTTTGTTTTGTTTTGTTTTTTAACCCAAACAACAACTTAATAAGCTTTTATCTGGAAATGCAGTTGTTCTCTCTTGATGGATAGTTTCCACATTCGTTTAATTTTAAAGGATCCTTGTCCACTGCCTTTTCAATTATTAGTTTTGGGAGGAATAGCTGCTGTATCTAAACGCTTCTGACTGTTTGAAGGAAAGTCTCTTCCTTGCAGGAAATCTATAGGAAGTCCTCTGGCGTAAAAATTGTGGGGATCAGGAATACAAATACTTTCTTTTTCACCCAGAATGTTGTAGGGGAGAAAGTGTCCTGAAACACAGGGGCTTTTCAGAAGGCTGCATACTGTTTATCCAACTATTTAACCTCATCACCATTAGCATTGTTGTGGTTCTCTTTTAATTAAATGCCTCATTGTTTGGGGTGGGGGTGGAGGGTGGGAAAGAAACCTTGAGGTTTTGCCTCAATTACTGTGCTTAGGGAAATATGGAAAAGCAGATAATCAAGTAAGATGCTAAGAAGCTTGAAAGTTAATATACGAGTATGCCTCAATGGAGCATGGAGAAGCATCTATATATTTCTTTCAGCACAGAGAAATACTGAGTAATGGTGTTGCAGTTAATGCCGTGGTGTTTTATTTGAGAAGAATACAGTCTCTAAGCAGAACATGTTTATAATGGAAGTGCAAACCTCATGGTAGAGTGGTGAAGCATACCTGATTTTAAGCAGCCTTTTCAGTAAAACTGAGTAAGGACCAGTTTGATATTTGTTTGATTTGAAGCAGCATTGGTGGCTGGCCAGTCACATTTTCAGTACTCAGGGAACAAACTGCCCATAATTATAGAAAATTGATGCAGATGCAATTCATATGAAATCTAAAGATTGTTTGACAGATGAATGGAGATGGAAGTAAGGAGGGAAAAAAGCAGACAATTTAGAAAATCACACATTTTTGCTGCTGAATAATCTCTTGATACATGCTATTAAATAGGCTGTACTCCAGGGTTTCTTTAGGCCTCCTAGCAACCACTAGGTTCAAAGGCCATGCAAGGAGTTCATTGTTCATGCAGAATATTAATTTCCCAGTGGAGGACTGTCTTGGAGAAAAAACACTGGAAAAGAAAATTACAACAATGTAGAGCTTTGACCTTGTGTGAAAAGAGACATTGAAAAGTTTGAGTCCAATAAAATTCATGCATGTTACTGAAAAAGAGGAAATATACTTGGAAGTTTTTGATAGATTGCTGCTTAATTCAAGGGAAAATAAAGAAATCATATGCAACTGCCAAGCGGGATAAAAGTTAATGAAACTTAGGAGGCCTCCAAACAGTCACATGAAATAATACGTATAGCTCTTGAAATGTTGAAAGCCTCTTTCTTTTTTTTTCCCCCCTTCTAAATAACAAAGGCAAATCCTCGATTTTGTTTTAGCAGAGAGAGGAACTGCACCCTGTGATTGACCCAGCCATTAAATGTTACGAGAACGGAGTAGTACTCTTGAAAGAAAACTTTTTCTGCAGCCTTTCTTGAGCTACTTCAATTGAAGATTTTGGTGTTGGAGGTGTATCCCGTCAGTTTGAGATGGAGGTGGTGTAGGGTAACAGTCTAGCACACACAGCATGAAGGAACATCTAAAGAGCTTTCTACAAAACTAACTCCAGAGCATGCTCATTTGAAGGTTACCTTCTGAAAAGTATGCAGTTACTTTATTGCTCTTTGCATACAGTTTCCTTGCAGAGGTTTCAGTCCTCCAAAGTTGAAAGGTAAAATTCAGTCTATATGTTGCCTGCTGTTACTGAAGTTTGATTACCAAGTTAAAGCAGAAGGGAAAGGAGAGAAGTATGTAGCACTGCTATCCAACTGATGGTATCTATGTGCAAATTAAAATTTGTGGGAGGAAAAGATATCCTCATTCTCTCTTTCAAGGGCAAGGATATTTGATGAAAGGTCTAGGACAGCCTCTTCAAGCTCCTTGAACAGTAAGAAGGCTCTTGGGAGCCATTTGAGCAAATTCAAGGGTCCTGAATATTTTTTTTAAGCTTCGATCTCTAATTCTAAAAATTAATATTTGGAGATAACCATGCATGATCTGAAGAACTCAGTTTAATGTAATTGAGAAATGACAGATACATGCAAAGCCTTGAAGCTAGTTCAGTTCTCCTATCCCTTAATTCAGTTATCTAAAGGAATATGTTCTAGCTTGAAAGTAGCTGTATTGTAATTAATATTTAATGGAATAATCAGTATTGCATCACCTTCTTTTTCTCTCAGTGTGGTATTAAGAAACACCTTCCCATTCATCTTCTTAACAGTAATGTGATTGCTTTGCCCCCCTGAATTCTGAGTAGTTTTAGGTTGTCTTAGGCCAGACCCATTGCTGGGACAGTGAGAACTGAGAATGTGCAGGTGTCAATGGCTAGCAGGACTAGCTTTGCCTCTTGGCTTCTGCTCTATCTCCTTTGCTGTAGTCTGTGCCAACCTGGTGAACCCCAAGTGGGTCACTCTGTTCAGCTACTTGAGGGGCTATGCTTACTTTATTGCTTGGAAAGTTGTTCCTGAGCTCACTGTGTCTACCAGTCCCTTTTGCCCTCTGCGGCATCCACTTAACTTGACAGAAAATTAGGAACTTTCACTGCATCCTCATCTGGGGGGAGCGTGTAAGTGTGCTCTGTCTTCACACCACAGACTTGGTGCAAGTTCATGGAACAGTCATTTTTGCACAGTTTCTAGTTCATTTTGTTCCCCCCTCCCCCCCCAGTTTCTTGCCTAAACGAGAACAGAAGACAAGCTTCTCTCTCCTTCTGTAGAACCCCGAATGAATGGTTTTCATTCTCGTGGTTGCACGTGCAGTGTGAACTCACGGTGCTGTGCCCATGCCAGTGTGTTATGCCACACATGTGCCTGGTCCTTGCCCACCAGATACCAAGACATTTTCTGCATATCC